ATGACCCTTCACAGCTTAAAAAAATGACAGCTAAAGAAGCAGAGAATACCAGTGAAGATTTACTTCAGGATCATGAAGTCTTTGTTTCTTAATTGTTTCTGTTGACTTAAAAACATTAGAGAAGTCCAAGTTATTGTTTCAAAACAATCTTAGTGATAACAGCTGGTGCCTGGGCAATAGGGAGCAATTTATCATTCTCAAGTAAGATGTGAATTTTGCTGCTTTTGCTCGTGCTGTTGTTGGAATCTTTGTAGCCAAATTTAGCATCATTTACCTCGACTGCCCCACAGCTTTTCTAAGCCAGGCTGCCAGCGAGGAAAAGGAAATGCTTTCACTTTAGAGCCTTTCGAAGTCTGGACAAAAGCTCACTTTCTGTTCTTCAGGTTTCCTATATATGGCTTTAGCCTCGAGATGAGGACCTGCTCGCTATGCACCCTCTCCCATCCCCCATTTCCTGCCTGGGTTCATTAAATGCTGATTTGAAGTTGGCACACGCTCTTCTGATACAAAAGTACTACTGTGTTCCAGGAACCATCAGAAAGTAGTGCATTATTATCTTTTACATTCCCTTCATATATATGTCCTCTCTCCATGCGTAGAAAGGATTTTTATCCCTTCTTTTTAAATATCTCTGTGTGTTTAATAAAAAGAAACAGTGAAGCAAAGCCCTGTCAAAAAAACCTCAGCTCATTTGGGAGCAATCTGTCCCCAGGCTATATTCTTTAACGCTAGTATCTGCAAATTGCTAATATTAAGCAAAGTGGAGTATAGGACATAATGACTTCACCAAATCATTTTCCTATCTCTCATGATTGTGCTTCAGTATCATGTTCCTCAGGAGAGAATAGTTTTCTTTCACCTGAGCAATGATGGTTGTTGTGATGAAATTAATGTGTACCTATATTGAAGCCTGTATATTTTCCATTTTTAACAGTACAGTTACTTACTTCTTTCCTGTTGTATGAAGCTGCCATAAAAGATGAGAAAAATCATTGAGACGCTGTCTTTCTTCTTCACCTAGAACCAAAGTTCTCAGTTCTGTAGAGTTATTTACAAGTCATGCCAAGGAGTTAGGTAACCAATCCTTGGGTCGCCTGTGATATCTTCTGTTGTTGTTTAAACTAATACTTTCTGTATCTTTCATACGTTTCCCACTTACAGTCATTTAAAGAGTAATACCAGTTCATTATTACTAGCACTAAAAAGAGAATAAGCCAGGTAATAGTGATGAGACTGAACAAGCCATGTTAGTGCAACGTCTCATTATTCGAAATTATGCTTCAGAGTTACATAAACTGTCATTTTCAGGCTAGTCTTTCCTGAAGTCCACTTGAGTGAATCGCTCAAATGGGTATCAACTGATTCCCATCGAGATCAATGACACGGGCTTTGGTGGCCTTCAGAGAAAATAGCTGTGTCTTTTTGTTTTCTTTGCAACAAAACACTCTCAGGTAATATATTTTCCGTTTCTCCAAGTAACTGATTATTACTTGTTCCAAAGTGCTAAGTGTAGTAGAAGTGCAAAGATTTGTGGAGCAAGGAGGCTAGGCTAATAGTGACCAATTAGACCAATATCAGATGTATACTGATATATATAAGATGGTTTTTAGCAGGTTTTTAGTTGAATAGCCCCAACCTACCAGCCTGCTGCCACGAAAATGTGCAGTCCTGTTTTCCTCATCTGCCACACTCCCAGCCACATGCTTGTTTTTCTCGTCTCTGGCTTTCTGGCTCCTTGGTCAGATGATTCAGCCCACTATAGTTGCAGGCATCTAACCCAGCAAACCCCACCTCATTCAGCACCTCCAGCGCTGCAGAGAGGCCCTATTTCCTCAGGAAGGTGAGATATAGGACATATCCTGTATGGGGTAGAATTAATCTAGTTTTGAGTCCTGGACCCCAGCAGGATGCTTGGTGTACAGAAAGTTAGCCATGTGCATTAATTATCTTGGTGGGTCAGTGTCTTGGTTTATGGTTGGATCACCACATAAAGTAATAGACTGCATGAAGGTCTTTTCAATGATTTTGTGGTATTAATGGAGGAAAAAAAGGTTAATTCTTAGGGGTTTGTATCTGCATGAGGAAGCTACTCTGCAGCAAGCTGGTGAGTAAAGCTTTAGCCTCAGAAGTTATTTGGCACTGGCTCCCCATGTGACACTTCTTTTCCACATGGAGAATGCTTTGGATGATGAACATAGTCAGCCTTGGCAGTGGATTAATTAAGCTGAGCAAATAATGTGCAGCAGAAATACTTACAGGGGTGGCTAATGCAAAACAGTTATTTTGAGCATTATCCCTCTATATCTACCCCACTTCTAAGAACAACTAGTTAAAGTATTGAACCTAATGCTCATTTGAAACATAAGGCAGATTAATTACAATAATTCTTCACCATTTGCCATGAAGGCTTTCCAAGTGCCTTGCAAATACTAGGGGAACAATTTAATTTAAAAAAAAGTTTGAAAAATTTATTTTCACTTTTTGCTCACTTGTTTGCATTTCAGAGTTTAAAGGATTAACATAATTTCTAAATAGTCTCATGTATGTGCTTGGGCCAGTCTGTGTGTATATATATGTATATACATTTATAATTTTAATCCACAGCTCTATCCTTGAAGCTTAAAATACTTAATTGTGCCTTTTTAACTATCAGAAGAGAGTTGACAATTATAGATGTGTTATTACTGCCTTCATGTAGGAGTGCACTGAAGCACATAGAATTGCTGTTGTGATCCATACCTGTTGCAGTCAACAATAATTCTTCTTCAGCTTCGGTGGGGCAGGATGGTACAGTGACCTACAGTCACACAGCAAGTCAATGCCTTATCCACAGACGAGTAACAAGAAACCACTTCCCAGTGCTGCATTTTGTCCATTGGAGTAGACATCCTCAAACCAGTTAAATTTATACATTTAGTGCACTGAAACCTGAATTCTTATTGCCAGCCATCAAGTCCTAGCTGGTACCATGTTAGGAGCTGGCAGTGTCTCATGGGAGACGTTCAAGAAAGCCGGTATTGGAAGCGAACACTCTTCAAACCTTGGCTTTGTTTTTTATTGGGAGGTTTATTTTACAATTTAAAAACCACTCTTCTTCATGCCTTTTCATTTTAAAATTGATTATTTCCATTTAAAAATGATCTTAATCTTTCACGCAAGGGCTGTCTTCTCAGATGGCTCATAAATTCAGACATTGACATCAAAGTCTGCTTTCTCTGCTTATATGATTGATTCAGATGTAGAATATGATGGGAATGTGGTAAAAATAGAAAGGCAATCACTGTGACTAAGCATGAAACATTCATATAGAAGTGGAGCATTTCTCCAGTGAGTGTTACAGAGGATTTGTATTACATTAGTCTGTCACAGGTATGGAAATATTCTCCTAAATTTTAAGAGTATGGAATAGTATAAATCGAAATAACCATAAGTGCAAAAGGAGTGAGCACCTTTTCTTCCAAATGTCATCGTACCTGGGTGAGATCTGTGGTGAAAGCATGTAGTGTAATCTTAGCCCATTGTTCTATTTTCAGTTTCATAGCAAATGGTATCTTAGACAGCAACCAAGTCATCTGTACTCCATTACTAGAACCATTGGTCTTAATAATGGTAGTAACTGATAAAAATGAAATTTCTTGTTAATATTGTTATTATTAAAGATTTCCAGTGTTTTGCTAGCCTGTGTATCTTGGTCTGAAATGCACTCAAGGCACAGGCCACTTAGAAGGGAGTGCTTGCCAAGAGTGATGTAGTACATGACAAAGGCCAGCGCGCGACTGCAGGCCCTGCAGGTTACAGCAGCGCTCCGGCAGAGGTGCAGCCCCTTTGCTCTCGTGTGAGCATTTCTAACGTCCCCATCCCTGAGGGAACAAGCGGGACAGTAGGAAACAGATGTGCAATATTACATGCTGGGCAGGGACTGGAATTAGAAGTGTAGGATTGAGTTCCTGCTCCGAAGTGACAAATGGTATAATGCTGAATTGAATGAAGATTTCATTTATTTTGTTTTTCTGCTATCTCTTGCTCCTTCTTTGGGGCTGGGCTTAGGTCTGTGCATAGGAGAGAGAATGATCCCAGTTTCCAGCTCGCTCTATTTTGAGATATTGCTTAGCCAAGCCTCAGTTCCAGAAAGGGAAATATAAACAAATTCTATTCCACAATTATCTTTCACTAGCTCTTAGCAGTCTGTTTGATAGAGGGTTTACTTAGAAGAACGGATAAATGAGTACACGAAACATTTTATCATGCTAAAAATATCACAAAGTAAAAAGCACAGCAGAGCTTCATCTCTGGCCTTCATATGAAAAGACCATGTCCATTTAGGAAACAAAGGTGGAACTTGCCCAAGGTGCATTAAGTATAATCCTAGGTTTTCTGGGAATCAATCCTACTTCTTCGTTTTCAGAGCATATATTTTTCTGTGTAAATGTTCTTAGGACACTGTTATAAATCTAGTTGTTTGGTGTGTTACTCAGAAAACATTGAAGTTCTGGGCCTAAAATTGCTGACCAAGAAATGTTCTGCCAGCAAGGCTTGTTGTAATTTATATTTCTAAGAGAAATCAAAAGGCACCAGTGGAGGCTTCTCTCTATTTCTGTCATCAGACCATAATCCAATTATAAGGTTCCAAGTTCCAAGCTGTATTTCCGTGCAAGTTTTCACCTACAAGAGAGAGAAAAATTATGTAGAATATAAGCTACATTCATCTCTAATTAATACTTATGATATTAACAATAATTAATGGGTAACTTCAGAGTTGAAATGGGATGAGAAAAATAATGGGATGCAAAGATTTTCAGCTCTCTTTCTCTCTTTCCTAGCCTCCAATCTAAAACGGAGTTGTATGAGGAGCAGCAGGATGGCTGGGGGGGATGGGCAGTAAAATCTCTGCCTCCAAGCTCTCCTTGGATCAGATGAGGTCCTACAGGGAATGTCAATGGTGTCTGACACAAAGCAGTAATTTGATTTGTAATTATTTATTTTCTTCTCTTCATTTCCAGCTTCAGAGCCCAATTTGAAGGTACGTTCACGGTTAAAACAAAAGGTGACAGAAAGGAGAAGCAGTCCTTTACTCAGGAGGAAGGATGGGCATGTTGTCTGTTCATTCAAGAAGCGACTCTTCGAGGTGACAGGTAATTAAGAATGGAGAAATTCTGTATCAGCTGCGACTGCTCGCAGAATAGTGGTGGTATTTTGGAATTGAAACTGTTTGCTAAACAAAAGGTTGTATCTTGTTTTTTCTGCTGCTGAAAAGAAAACCATATTAAATAAATGGTTGTGTATAAATAGCTTGTAATCTACAGCTTTCTCCCACTTACTGAAAAGTCGTTGCCAATTTGAAAGTCATACTTTCAATCCAGCTTGGAAACCAGTACTTTACAACAGCCTGTACAAGAACAAAGAAATGGTAGACTGTTGGTGGCCAGGGGCGTCAAAGAAGAAAACAAGAATAGTCTCTTCCCTTTTTTTGTGTCTTCTGTACATGGACAACATTTTGGGTCTTGCATCTCCCACTTCCCATCTCCCGTGGAAAATGCAGATGCTAATACAAAGCGCAAACACACCTATCTGATATTACTTGGGTTAATCAAGGACATTTTGGAATCTTGTGTTTGGTCCTATCCCTCTGGTTTCTCTTGTTTGAAAATGTCAAGACTAGTTCGTGGATGAACCACAGATGCTAAGGCTTTCTTTCACATGTTTGGTGTTGCAGAGTGGTAAATTTTGTCACGTATATTATTTTGTGGAATTGCACCCAAGTTATTGTGATTTAAACAGCCTAAAGTCCTCTCGTTTTTAGTCCTTAGGATGAGTATGCTGCCAAGGCCTTATCTGTTGATTTGAAAGAAAAGAGCATTTACAGTATTTGGCCTCATTCTGATGTTTCTTGCTTTGACTTTGCATCGATATTTGGTAGCTTCATGGCTTGTTCAAGTGATGTTACAATCAGGCCATATGTTTATGCAATGAACTGTTACTATGTCAGACGTGTCTGAATTCACTTGGTGTATCAGAATTATGTCACACCAAGATGGAAATATAATACAACATGAACAAATTCATTTCAGTGTCCTCATACATGCAATTCTCGTGACAACTTCTCACAGTATGTCATGTGCAAAACTGGGACATGGATACGAACGTAAGTATGAAAGTAACTAAGTAAGGTAATTTCCCTGTAAGTTATTTCCAGATTAGAATTTTTTACAGCTAATTTATTATTTCCATTTGCTGAAGCTCTTAGGAGATTCTTGATCTCCGCTTCGTAGTTTTAGCTGATTTTCTTTATATTTTGTATGCTTACAAGTAAGGTATAAAGTGAAACACCCAGGGATTTTTTTCTGCAGCCATTGGAAGAGCAGAAGCCTGAAAGCAAATGTGTTCTCTTCCTAACTCTGACAATAATTCAGAGCCTTACAGATTGCCATTATCATTATTAATATCGGCTATATGACATTTTGCACCTTTCATAATCAAAACTTCCCTGATCAAACATTTCTGGCAGAAGCCTTTTGCTCCTTTTTTTTTTATCCTTTTAACTGAAAATAGCCCTTTATTTAAATGCCTATTTATACTTCAAGTGCCATTGTACTTTTTAAAAAAATGAGAAAAAAGAATAAGTTTGTGTTTCTTCTCTTCTATGAAAACTAGTGAGAATATGATGCAAGAACTTTACCTGACCAGTTAGCATAGCTGGGTACGGATTCACTTCAGTAAATCAAAGTCAGCTCTAGTAGGAAAGAGCAACAGGTCCAAGAAACTGGAGAAGCCTTTTGCTCCTCGCTTCGTAGTTTTAGCTGATTTTCTTTATATTTTGTATGCTTACAAGTAAGGTATAAAGTGAAACACCCAGGAATTTTTTTCTGCAGCCATTGGAAGAGCAGAAGCCTGAAAGCAAATGTGTTCTCTTCCTAACTCTGACAATAATTCAGAGCCTTACAGATTGCCATTATCATTATTAATATCGGCTATATGACATTTTGCACCTTTCATAATCAAAACTTCCCTGATCAAACATTTCTGGCAGAAGCCTTTTGCTCCTTTTTTTTTTATCCTTTTAACTGAAAATAGCCCTTTATTTAAATGCCTATTTATACTTCAAGTGCCATTGTACTTTTTAAAAAAATGAGAAAAAAGAATAAGTTTGTGTTTCTTCTCTTCTATGAAAACTAGTGAGAATATGATGCAAGAACTTTACCTGACCAGTTAGCATAGCTGGGTACGGATTCACTTCAGTAAATCAAAGTCAGCTCTAGTAGGAAAGAGCAACAGGTCCAAGAAACAGCTAGGAAATCTCCCAGTAATTTCAGTCAACGTAAGGATATAGTTTTGCATGTGAACTGAGACAGAAAGAGTGAAGAAGCAAAGAAGTGGCTATAGAATACTTATTGCCACATTTAGATATTAATTATTTTAACTTCTTGAGTACTTTAATTTGAAAGCTATTGCATGAAACAGGCTTACCTCTACTAATGCTGCGCTCTTCCATCTTTAACCTTGTTAATTGTTTCCATTACATAAATTTAATTTATATCAGTGTAGGATTAGAATAACTCAACACAACAACACACAATGACATCATCCTCTTCCCCTTTATCTTAGAACTTGGGAAATTTTAAATCACAATAACATACAGCCTTTCAAATGCTACTTTAAGATTTTTGTATGCTGTAAATATTCCTTCATATTTGTGCCGAAGCTGTAGTGAAAGTGGTGTATACTTTGCCATTATTACTTGCATATGTAATGATTAGTCCGCAATGGGCTCATCCCCTTTCTAAACAGAAGAGAGATGGCAGTAGGCCTCATGAATTGACGACATGTTATCATGACCTTTGCAAGCCTGCTATCTCTGTCATTTTGATCTCTTACAGAGGCAGGACTCTGCAATTAAAAAGAAAAGACTTTCTTTTCTTTTTACTCATTACAAGTTCTATGTCTGTATCTCTGCCTGATACTGAGTATCATACCATCTTTGTGGGAAAAATAAATAGTAAATTCTTCCTTTGTGAAGCAGCCAGATCAGAAGGGGAAAGACCAGGAGTATCTTTCCTTGTTAGCACTGTAAAAGGAAAACCAAAAGAAATGGAGGATGAATTAAAAATCTTTAACGTAAGTAAATAGCATAACCAATAGATACCTTTCAACAACAAAAAAACCCTGTGCCATAAAGAGTATACAATTAATCAAGATCATGTGATCCTTTCCAGCGTGAAATGCATGTATGTTTAATCTGTTTTTCAGAATCCTCAGTCAGTAGCAGCTCCCCTGGATCAGGTCCCAGTTCCCCAAGCAATGGTCCGACCAGCAGTATAACAGAAAATGAAACCTCAGTTTTGCCATCTAACGTTCAAGCTGAGGTAAGATTTTTTCTTTATTGAGTAGACAATTGCTCAAATATCTAGACTGGAGAGATTTGAAACTTCAATTTGATCATACTCACAAGCAGAGTAATTGCAGAAGATATAATTACCAGGGATACCAGGACACTGCAGGCTGACATTGGAGTATGTTATATATGAGATACAACTTCATATATGAGATGCATGTTCAGGAGGCCAGCATATATGACATCCATGTTCAGGAGACTCTTTGTTAACAGAAGTCCAAACAAAAGCAGCAGTAATGCTACTGGAAGAGTGGAAGGGAGTTATGGAAGGAACTCGGAAGCATCTGTGTTGCAGAACGTTACCTTCTGGGATAACCTGAAAAGGTGCACAGTGCTGAACGCTGATGAAGAACTTTTCACGTGCAAAAGAGTGATTTAGGCATTGGTGACCCTAGCGCATGTGAGTTAAGGTAGTCCCAGGTTCCAGGGACCACATGGCTGCTGAAAGAGATTTGTTTAATTACAGTATCGGAGTTAGGTGACTAAATCCTTTTTCACATCTGCCTTTTATTTTACTGTACCTCAGTTTCCGTATCAGGGCAGTACTTACCAACATAACTGACATGCCAGGAGTCTTGGATACTTGTTTTGTAAAGCGAGATTGTACACGGAAGGAATCTTAACTACTTCTTATTCTGTTTCATACATACGTGCCTATAACAACAGAAATGCAGGTGGTAAATCAGTTGTGATAAACCTCATTTAGCATAGACGACATGCCTAAGTCATGCTTTCCGTGGCAATATTGTAAAGGGACAATAAACTAATGCAACTAAGAGAGAATCAAATTCTACAATATTCTGTATCCTGTGCCTATACTTAAAGCAATTCCTGCTTTGGTAGCAAAGTTTTATGTTAGTTGTTGGTGTATACTGTTTATGTTAGAAAAATTGCATAAGAAAATGTGATTTAACAGAGTTTTAGCTAATGGAGCTATTTCTCCAGGTCAGTGGCAGGACATTCACCTCAAAAAAACCTGGAATGGGCAGTTCAACCTCCAGCAGTGACTTTTCCCCATAATGAATTAATTGTGTGTGTGAACTATGATCCAGGGGGCAGGTGGGTGACCTCTGCACACTGATTAGTAGCCTCTCTCTGGCCCGTAACCAAAAAGAAAAAAAAATTGCATTGATGGCTAACATGTGGTCTTGCCTCATAGCCCCTCTGTATGTGATTGCAAAGAACTTTAAATGATGCAGAGTAAGATCCATCATTTGGATTAGATCAGCTCCTAGTTCAGTGGAATTAAATGGTATATTTTAATATTGGTCATGTTTTCGATAGAAGTTTGTAATATGTGGGTGTTAGTGCTGTATTAAACAGGAAATCTTGTCCAATTAGATCCTGTATTGACTTGAGGATACTACAGAATGCAAAGGGAATAATGTCTCAGACTGATAAACGGTGCTTGTTACTTTGCCTGTTATAGTTTCTGGACGCTTGCCCACAGTGTTGAACCACCATCAGACAGGCATACAATCTGGTCAGGCTGGCAATCTCTGTTTGGGGAGATTTGGAAAGGTTGTAGCAAGAACCAACAGAGTTGTATTCTGTTTATTAATAGAACACCGCATTGCATATCATTTGCCATTACTGTGCCAGACATCAGAAATTATAGCCCCACCATACAATCACACATGCACAAATGAGCCTAAAAAGTCCCTTTAGAAGTTGAGCTCTGCGTGCTGGAGTGGGTCACTTAGCTCACTGGAAGTGTGCTAAGAAGCTGAAACTACTGGCTTCCATTTCTGGATCCAGTCGGGGATTTCTTTACTTCCCTGGTTACTTGACTGTTAATGCTGTGGTCCTGTGGGCTCAAATATTTTTCCATAAATCTCAACTTCAGTGCATTTTGATTTCAGTGGGATTTTCTTTGGTAGTTTAACAGCAGCCAAACTGCTACATATCTCTTTTCTAGTTTAGCATTAGCTGCCAGCTCTCAAAGGCTATATATCTAACCAATTTTTCATCAGATACACAAAGTACAGAAGTTTCTAATAATGGGATTAGTGTTCCAAAATCACCCAAAATATCACTTGTTTTGCTGTAATCCCGCATGACTCACATTGCTGTTGTTTCATAATCATTGTTGTGACATTTGCAGTAAGTGTTGTGCTCATATCTGAGTGGGTGGATAGCCGCAGTTTTCATGGCAGCAAATAAAACACTTTTTGCTGGGGGAAAACAGGTTGCTATGACAGAGAGCCATTTACCAGCAAAACATGAGTCAATACCGTAAGTGATTACACTCTAGTGCATAGACAGAATTAGAGCATTATCAGTAATGAAACAGATTTTTAGAGTATTTTTGCCATATCCATTTGAATAGCAAGACTTTTAAGTGGTTTACCCTCCGGAGCAGACAGTCTGGTGGGTAGACATTTACATTTTTTGGAATGAACAAAGGTGCACTGCAAATGCTACATTTTTGCAGATAATCTTTTACTATCACAGTTCCCTTAATGGTACTTTCAGTACCATTTGTTAAAACACTGGTCTCATTATATGAAACTTGAAAGTTAAACTCAGGATTTTAATTACACCTTATAAATAAAATGCTGCTTTTATTAGGCCCAGTTGTCTCCAGTATCATCAAGGTTCACCGCAGTAGCTATTTGTCTCTTGTAGCACGCCGTACACTTTCAGGTCACCTGCTGTGCTGGGTCTAAATCTTACTTGCATGAGAAATGCAAGCAGGATTGAGCCCCTGCACAGCATGTCCCTTGAGTTCAGAGGGACAACCTGCCTTAGTCATGTGAAATGATTAATATTAGGCATTCACAGCCTGGTCAAAAGCCATTGAACGCAATGGAAAGTTTCCAATTGGTGTAAGCAGGCTTCAGGTCATTTTCCTTCTCTTTCATTTGTGCTTTGCAGAGCAGCATTTTCTAGAATATCGCCTGATTATACAGGAGACATAAATGACATGCATGGCAGATAAACACGTGTTGCACGATTTGTGCAACCCCACAGCACTGTCTTTCTAATACTCAGCTCCTTGAGGTGCTCTTTGCAAGTGGCTACTAGGAAAACGTGTAGGTTTCTGACCAGCTGGTGAGGTTTGCTTCAAGTGTGTGTGAAGAGAGTCTAATTAATTAGCAAAAAACCCACCCCAAAAGCCTTAAGAAATAAGAATGTAACTGTGAATATTCAATATTTGACAACCTTACTGTAGCTCCACAATTTAGAAATATTAAAGCCAAACCATTTCTTCTTCCCCTCCTAATGCGTGAATGTGCATATAAACATGCACACATGAAATAGGTCTTCCTGCTTCTCAGCAGGTCCCGGTACCAAAAATAACTAATCATGGTTACTTGGTGACCATGATGTACTGTTACATTTAGTTATTGTACTCTATTTTAAGAAAGAGGGTAACTTTGTTGACAGGATATTTTAAGCATCAGGAAGCAGGATCCATGGACCCAGTGAGTAAGTACATAGAGGAGCAAGTAGGGCAGTTGCTCTTTGGGGTGATTTAGGTGCCAATCCAAACCATCAAGTCTGCATGCGGGAGGAGGACCATGGCTTAGCCATTGTGCTGCCAAATGACACTGCTGGCAACTCCAGTTTGTGCCACCGTTTCAAGGTATTGTCAACTGTGTAAAAAGAGAAGCTGCAGCTGGGGTCATGCAGTTGTGCCTCAGCATATGCAGGACCCTAATCTATGGAGGTGGGCTACTAAACTTACTTTGGGAGATGAGGTTTAACTGACTCTTAGGCTAATATTACCTGAAAATATTTTTAAAGGTCAGTTACCTCCCCAAATGAAAATTACTGATTATTAGCAGTATTAAAAATTGGATGGAAATGCTCTTACTAATAAATTCCTGTTTTCAACATTAAACTCCCATGGTACATAATGTGATTGATTCTGCCTCATGAAACAATCATGCCTGACCTTAACGTGCTTTACTGCTATACACCTTGTCACTGTTATGTTTGTTAATTCGAATCTTAGAAGGTAATAGTGGCATACTGAAAACCAAAAAGGAAACGTGCATTTTTGAAGTGACTGTATAGATGCTGCAGTTGCTACAAATTTGATTATATTCTAGGAAGCACATTAGAGCTGCTGCAGTGTCCTTCTTCAGTTAAATCTTTGTAGTCTCCCTCAATAATATCTCCGTAGTCTTGACATACTTGGTTTTATTCATGGTCAAAGGTGGATGTTATCAAGGCAAGACACTGTTAGCCAGGAATTAATGTAATATACAAGTGAAGCTTCTTTGTTTCGTGTGCTATCTGTTGACATTCCCTAGGTACCAAAAGAAAATTACAGAGATAGACTTCTAGTGTTATTGTCTCAGTGATAGGTCGTATCTCCAAACAAACTGTATGAGGAAGGTTATGTTTTGGAATAACATCCTGTGTTTTTGTGCTTAACCACTTTTCATTGATGGTCTGAAGTTGCATTGTATTAGCACAAAGTATTTTACAGAGTTAATTGATATTCCAGGTTTGTCCAGGGGAAAATCTACAGCTCCCCACAACATGCTTGACAAGTTATTATATTTACTTTAGTCAAAGCCCGAGTGTGCAGTATCCCTCTTGGAGGTGGTCTATTATTGGAGTCCCATATGCTTTTTGTTTGGGAAGAAAGCAGTCACTGTGTCATACTGTTACACAGGGTATTCTTTTTCAAGGATGTTGTTCCCTTGGGGACCATATCATGCCAGAGTTCCTAAGTCTAATAAGACCTTTGTAGCTCTTATTGTGTTAAAGTTCTGGGAGGGAAGCAAGAGTTAAACAGAAAATGTAATTCAAGCAACTATACTAGACCACATGTTGAAAAACATGACTGTTAAAGCAGAAAGGCAAAGGCTTCAAAAAGATTCCTGTTGTGGTAATGTAACTTTTTATGTTTCTTCCCAATGAATCTAGAATGGAAAGGCAGAGCGTGATCTTTGTAGAATGTCTAGTTTTACTTGACAGTAATTAAAAATAGATCAACAATTCCATGTCCTTGAAAATTATATCACAAGGCTTCAAAAGAAGTGTTAAAGATTTTAACTCGAGGGGAATTAGGAAGGCTGTGAGGGGCATCCCACCATCAGAGAATGATAGGACGCTGATTTTGTATATATGCATGTAGAGAGGGACAGTACATTTTTTTTAAATGGCAGATATGGCAATCATCTGCCTCACTTTCTACCCAAAATTCCCATGTCAATGGAAGTAAATAATGTGCCTGAAACATCCCCATATCACAATCTGGGTAAGAAAATACATGGACTAGGTAGAAACTATATTTCATACCTTACAACAAAGATTATAACAACCACGGTAAAGTAAAGGTCTAATAAACCCACATTCGTGACACCTTTGATTCAGCTAGATATACTCCTTAATTCATTGGCTAAATTCCCACTGAGTTTCTAGTAGTGAAAGTGCAGTTGATGAGAAGAACTGATGTTGAGCTGATGAGAAGTTGATGAGAAGAGGTGGTCTAGGAATCCTCAAGATTTTGGTTTTGCATGGAAATTTGATTTACTAACCAAGGAATAATCCCAGATATATATCAGTTGTTTTCTTAAGAAAAGAAATATCAACAGCTTTTTCACAGGGACAGTACTTTTCCTTATCTGGAACCCCATTGGGGTGCAAACCAATGCATGATACATAACTGGCTTTCAATATAGCAGGGTAACAAGGATAAAGTAACCAAGATAAAAAACTTGGAGATTATACTTCTGTTGTTTTTCCCCTTTATTCCAGCATCTGGTTTCACAGCAACGCCTTTTGATACAGGATGAATCAGTGAACTTATTGAGTCTGTACACATCCCCTTCTCTGCCCAACATTACCTTGGGACTTCCAGCAGTACAACCTCAAATCAGTGTAAGTGACCAGTCTCAAGCCTTCCCGTCTACTTTTGCTTCCAGAAAACCTACTTTCTGACTATTCTCTTTTTTTAGCATTTTGGAAAGTAAGCAATTCAGAGTAGGAACCAGACCTTTCTTTGCATTGGGCAACATCTGAACATTTAAGGGCACAACCTGAAAGCAATAATCATTCTTTATCACAAATAAACAAGTGCCAATTAGTGCCAAACAAGTGCTTAGCTAAGTATGCACCACATGCATTGCATTTATGTCTGCAAATCAGATAACATTTCAGATATGGTGAGAAGTATATGAGGAGATCATTTAGTATAAAAGTTCAAATTATATATCATCCCTAACTGGTAAAGTACAGCACCTGTAACATTTTATGAGATTTCAGTAGCAACCTAAGCTGGGCTGGAGCATAGTAGGGGAAGAATCTAGTATTCCTGCAGCTAGGTTTGTTATTTGAGGGGTGTGCTATCATCAGACAAATAAAATTGGTGATATGTGAACAACACTTAATATTTTAATAAGTTATATTCATATGCCCTTTGTTCAGTCTGCAGCAATCACCTTTATTTAGAGCTAAATGTTAAATTGATATGTGAAATGTATGAAAACACAAACGTGGTATGTATGAAATCCATGTGGATGGGTAAGGATCTTTAGATCTAGACCAAGTTACAGTAACCTAGATGTGAAATCTGAGGCTCAGTAAAATATCTGAAAATTTTGCCACTGGTCAAAACTTACCTTTTCTGATTTCCAGCAAAAAATGTAAAAATACTGATATAAGTTATATGGTGGTTCTATACAGCAGAGTATAAATTCTGAAAAAATTTTAGCAATTTAAATTTCTTAGAACATGAATTGGTAACTTCTATAAAAATACTAGGGGTGTAAGTACAGCTTTCCACGGTGTAAAAAAAAAAATCCATACAATTCACTATGGTTTGTAATAAGTGCTACTTAATTCCAGTGCTAAATGTAGTTTCAAGTTAAAGTTTCATGTTATTTTATGGCTTTTTCAGTACATTTACTGTTCTCACTAATAACATATTGCTGCAATCCAACATTTTAACATCAGATATAGAACTTTGCAAAGAAAATTGTAAGCCTTAAGTCAGTTCTTGAGAAGCCTTTCATGAGATATTTATAAGCAAATTATTGTTTTTAAAGGATGGAAAAATTGAACTGATCATGAAAAGTAGTGCTTACTTTTCAAGATGATATCATAAAAAAATTCTTAGCTATTTCACAAAAGATATGACTAGCTTCAAAGTAATTTTATAACATTAAAAAGGAAATGAAAATTTAATTTTCTCACTCAAATCATATGAGCTTTTGATGTGGCCAGCTAGCACCAAATACTACTTTTGGCATTAGAAGAAACAAAGGGGTTGATTTATGTGAGTAATGTTTATTTCTGTTACCAGAATAAGCAGTTGCAAATTGAATGTAAAGTTTACTTTGGTGTTTGTTTTTCAGGGAAGGGTGATAGCAGAGTGTGAAGTTAGCATACACGCAAAAAATATGAGTGAAAACCTTGGTTCGCTTCATTAGAATTTATGGAATTTAGATTATCAGAGATACTGTTTTTACCATGACATACCATAAGTGGCTATCTGCAAGCCTCAACGTGCTTATTTCTGTTAGGTTATTATTTCTGCTACAAAAATTGTTATTCCGTTTTAACTGTTCTTTTAAGAAATTTTTTTTTTTAACTAGACAAAGAACAAAGAAATATAAAGTACATTTGCAATGCTGAAGGGCCAAAACTTCCAAAAGCTTTAAATCAATAGCTGTGCAATTTATAAGGGCACTTTAAAATGCCACACACATACAACAGCTCTTGATGATTCTGTAGGTGAGAGTTTAACTATACAAATTTACTTTGCAAAGGGTAAAACTTACATTTGTGCCGTCCTTCAGGGAGTCAGGGAGTGCTCCAGGAAAAGTAATAGCTTCCCACTACTACAGGTAATTATTTTGTTTTGCTGATTGGCTTGCTGTCTGATGGAAAGTTATGTTGAAAACCAAGCCTTGCCTATTCCAAACTCAATGGAAACTATTTCCTCTGATCCCCTATTTTCCTGTGCAGGGGACTGTGGGAAGGTCTTTAGGAATTTTGAGGATAGGTCCTGTCTTTTCATTAATAATGTTGTAACTAGTAGTTCCTTATGCTTTGGCTTTTACTACTGATTGTTTTCAAGTGGTTTCATTACTCAGTTTCTCACAATGTTACATTTAACTGGCATGTTCTTCCTGCCTTTTCATCTCACAGTCAAAGTGTAAGATAGGGATGTTAACCTTTTCTTCTGTGTGTATTCATAAAGTATGACATAAGACCGTCTAATCAAGTGAAGGTATAAATGGCCAGGTCTATGAAAAGCAGTTACCAGTGCCGTTATTCTTTGACAGGCTTCATCGTCATTCAAAGAAAAGCAGAAGGGGGAGACCCAGTCGCTCAGACAAGGAGGGGCCTTGGCTGGACAGTATGGGGGGAACATTCCTCCGTCCTCAACTCATCCACACGTTGCTTTGGAGGGAAAGCCAAATAGCAGCCACCAAGCTCTCTTGCAGCATCTGTTACTGAAAGAACAAATGAGACAGCAAAAACTTCTTGTGACTGGTAATGATCAAGGCTTCAACACAAGAATAATTTAAGATGTTTTTAATGACATTTGTATTCCCATTAAACTGGTGGTATTACCCATGAAATGCGGTAATACAGATACTATACATCCTAACCATTGGGAAAAGTGGAAGGGTGGGAGAAAAAAGGACAGCATCTTTGTTTTCCCTCTTTAGTGATCCTGCTCCAGTCTGTTAGCCTGAAAGAATTCAGTGATTACAGAAAAGAGAAAATGATTACTTCATCACATTCTTTTGCAGCTGCTGAACTTCCCAGTGTGGCGAGGCACGTGGTACACGTCCCACTGCATCAGCACTGATGCAAAGTTCTGCAATATACCCCCCTCTTCTCAGTGAAAGCTTTCTGTCCTGTTAGAACTGTTAGTTTGTCGTTCTTCACATGGGAGTGAAATGTCCCTGTTTTGCAGGAGCGGTTCCTCTTCATCCACAGTCTCCTTTAGCAGCAAAGGAGAGAGTCTCACCTGGCATAAGAGCTGCCCACAAACTGCCTCGTCACAGGCCACTGAATCGAACCCAGTCAGCTCCTCTTCCTCAGAGTACTTTGGCCCAGCTGGTCATCCAGCAGCAACATCAACAATTTTTGGAGAAGCAGAAACAGTACCAGCAGCAGATCCACATGAATAAGGTGAGTTCCCAAAGTAAGGAATTTCCAATAAATGTAAAAGTTCAATACTAATAAGGAAGTTTAGGTATTGGTGCCATCTGGTTGTGGACAGGAGTCAGGTTCTTGCACGAGTATCTTGTTTATGCACAGTTGGTATATACCTTTGTATAGATCTTCATTTTCAGCTTCTGAAATATGCTACAGAGGTAATTTGTGGTTCTTGACATCAGTAAGAATACAATTCAAGAAAATAGGGCTCAAAGCTTCTTACAGATTTAAATTACAGGTGGTTTCCTGTTGAACGGTAAATGATGCCTTAAAGATTACTACGTTTCTATCCAACTTTTTAATGTGCACTTTTGTGCTTCAGCGATGGTTCCATTCAGCTGCCTTTGAATTGTATTTTAAGCTCTCTCATTGTGGACTAGTATGTGGAGTAAATGTATAACTCATTTGAATTCAATCAACTGATTAAGTTTATCTTTTTTGTTTAAGAAACTTATCAAACATCTGGAGAAATTTTTAATCGGCTTTTATCAAACCAACTTTTTCTCTGTAAGTCACAGAGCTACAATTAGTAACATGAAAATTTGTTATCTATATGGCGATATAAAATTACCATGTAAGGAGAAAGAGAAGAATGTGCCATTGCTAACATCAGATACAGAGTTGAATTGTGCCCCTCTTTCCCCGTAGAGTAACACCTTATTCTGAGGAGGGGGGAAGAAGAAAAGGGACCACCCATTAATAAACACAGAGCAGCAGAATCTAAATAGATTTATCAGGAACTAATGCTTCTACAACAAATGTGATGCTGTTCCCTGCTCTAAAATGAAGATATGCAAGTAATTGAATGGTTTTATCTGGAGAACATTTTTCTGCACTCACTACGTAGCTTTCCAAAAGTTGTTTGCTGGAGCTCCTCTAGTAATTCAAAGGTATTAATCATGCATCTTTAGTTGTCTTCTTTTGTTTGAGGGTTACTTAATAACTATATATGAGGCAATGGCAAAGAAGAAAAGATGAAAAGCGGGCATTCAGCCCTTGTACCTAAGAGAAAAGAAAAAAAAAATCAATCCACCTTACAGGGTGAACTTCCCAGGGGGTACTGATTCTTTGGAATCTACTAAGAATTCCCAACAAAATTAGAAACAAACCTAGAGTTTAAGTACATAGTTTGTACAGTGGTTTGGTTATTAAATCTTGTCTTAATTAGGAAAAATGAAGACCAGAAAACTTCAAAGTTCAGAGCTGATCCTTGCATGTTAACCCCTCTCAGCTTGGGTGTTTTGATTACTCAACTAGGACTCCAGTTGGCTTTTCTTTGAGTATGCATTCCATATGTTTAATCAAGATGGCATATGTATATCTCGTAGCCTCAGGTTTTGAAAATATTTCACCTGCCCTCAATTGTCTGAAGAGAAAAGAATTTTTACTGGTAAAGTACTGAATTTTTGTGCTGTTTGTGGGTATTCACTACAAACCGATCAGTTCATGCATTCCTCACAAAGCAAAGAACCCCACTGACATGTTTTTGTTAGATTATATGCTTATTGACATAAATTCTACCACAGCATTTGGGGATATGTGCTGTGACATATAGGTACATTTCTCCCAAATGTGAAAGTTAAACTTGAGTCACATAAACATATTCCTAGTCGCGTAGGACTAGGAATGCATTGTACCTCACAAGAACTAAGCTGGATAAGGAAGTAAAAAGACCGCAGTTGGTTTGGGATAATGCTTCTTTCAGTAACTTTTTTTTTCTGAGTTAAACTGCAAATAAAATATATGTTAAGGAGAATAATTCCCTTTCATACTTGAAATACACTTTCATTCTCACATGGTTATTTGTGATAAAGAGACAAAACAATTCCTCCTTTTAAAACTTAGTGAACCGAGCTTTTATTCTCTACAGTATAGGCTATACACATATGCAGATAGTAGAAATTTAAGTTTATCCTTAAGCAGCCTTTCGCTGCCTTGAACCTCCATAACCTACTTCCTTTACCCCAGTAGCTTCTCAGTCTCCTTTATCCCTACTCTCAGAGCAGCTAGCGTTCATCAGGAGCACAGTAACTCATCAGAGCAGCAAACACCTAAGGAGGAATAGGATCGTGCTGCAGCCACAGAAGCAGTGGGTTATCTGAGGATGTGGGTTGTTTATCAGACTACAGTTTGCAGCACCTAGGTTCTTCTACAGCACCATTCTCAGAAGAACCGTTCTGATGAATAGTACTGAAAAACGTCAGTGGTCTAATCATGTATCTGTCCTCTGCAAGTATACAGAAAGCCAGGGGGCTTTCTTACATACTTAAAAGAAACCTGATTTTTAAGAACTGGAATTTAAGGGTAGCCTGTAGACAAGAGAGTGAGAAAAGATCAAATCATGGAGTGGCTTTTACGTACTGTATTTAAAACTATATTTTTTAACCCTTTAACTTAAAGGTTCAGTTTGAACACATGTGCCTACATAAGGTTTTTGAACTCTGCTAGCATGGTGGAATATACTTTGTTCAGTCTTAAAACTTGCCTCTATTTGCAGTTGAAGTTATTTGTTCATTATATAATTTGTATGGCTTTACAATCAAACTTAAACTCTGCAAAGCAGAATTATTTGAACCTTAAAACAGTAGATATTCTAGACAATGTAGTAAAACAACCCAGTATCTTCTCATTTCTTAGGACAAGCTTGAGCATGTATCAAGTGAATACATACACTTGTTATTTTCCATTGTTCTGTCCCTTACTCTACTGTTCATAGGCTGTATAATGAAATCTGCACAGAGGTATAATTCTCTCCTTTTCAGTCATGAAAAATGTAGGGTTTTTTTTTTAATAAGGGATACTCAAACATTCTCTTAAAAGTTTTGGTGAGAAAGACCAGAACCATTTTAAGCTGACAAGACTATGAAATGCCAGTTGATCAAGAGCTTAGAACAAGTTAATATCTTCTTTTTCTTTCCCATTTCCCTTTCCTTTTTTCCTTATGTTTAGGACTTCAAGTACTTAAGGCTTTAATATATTTCAACTGAACGCAGTATTTGAATGTTTGCCATGAACTAAGATGATATGGCATGTGTCAGCACGCCCTGAAAACTGTTTTTGGTCAGATCTTTTTGGCAGACATATAGGTGAATCTTGCTGTAACAACAAAAAGAGGAAGAGAGCAAGTTTCTCCCCACCCCATTGATCTTGTATTTGTCTTGTATTAAAAAGCCATTTCTTTTCTTTGAGAAAAAAATATACTTCAGCAGCAAGCCAGTGCTGCTGTGAGGGTGATAACAAGCAAAATCTAACATAGGTCAGAGGTAAAGAATTCCCCTGGATCATCTCCATTCTGAAAAGAAACAAATCATTGCCAAGAGGTGTGCCTCTGTCCTTAATAACAAAGAGAAGATCCCCTATGGATTATTTCTGGTCAGCTGTCAGATGCCAGGCTTTTGATGTGGGAAACAGTATACGTCTCCACTGAAGTCTGACATTTATACCTGCGGGATCTAGTATGCTGACCTTCGGAAAACATTCTGCAAATGTTGACATCCCATCCAAAAGTAGGTAGAAACCCTCGTCCTAGTTTTCTGGGGAAAAAGTAATAATGAATGTGAAGTAATCTGAACTCTGCTTGTCTTAGGGAAGATTGGCTTTGCCGTTGTCAGCTTTAATATACTTCTGTCCAAATGACAGCTTATTTCCTCATAAGGCCCTTTGATCACCATTGCAGATTCTTCATTCTGCTCAATAAAGGGAGTCCAAAGTCTGAAACCCCCAGTTAAAATTATTGCAATCGGGTACCAAAAGACCATTACTAAAGAAACCCTTAAAATCTTGATGTTATTTGTGTATCTCTGTATCTAGAAAGCTTTGACCCTGCCACTTGCATAAAAAAGGGAGATGTTGATGTAATTAATGTAAATGCAAAGCCCCTAGCAGAAGTCTGCATTCAAGAAAATCTCAGAAATCATAATGTGAAGTGTACGTGAACAAAGCCCTCTGTCTTTAAAGGTTATTTTTGTCACGTATGATGAATAAAGGCCTGCCTCCACTGAAGCTAAACTAGCACTGTCTTCACTGGGACCGAGGTTTTATTTGATCAGTGTGGGAACCCTACATGTGTTCTTCAAATAATGTATTGACAGCACTTCAACAATTTGTTTTCAATGGTAAAATCCTCCTCTGTATTGGAGTAGTAAAGGTTAAAATAATGGGGCAGTTGGTAGTGTGCACTAAAGTATGGGAGCAGTATGGATAACGTTAAAGCTTAGATAAGGAGTACCTGAATTTCAGTTTTCATTCCAGGATGTTAATTGTTTTAAAGTATCTTTCTATAGGGAACCAGTGACTAGGCAAGACTGTGAGGTAAAAAATCCATGACAAAAAATACATAGGAAGTGAAAATTCGTTAGTGCTTTGGATGGTGATCATAATTGACCGGTATCTGTTACTAAAAAATGAAAAATAACATGGAAGTTTCTGTTGATTTATTGATGGAAAAAATAGGAAGATTATTTGTTGTCAGTAGGAATATTGAAAAGATACAGTTAACCCCAGAGTAATCATTCACTTCTCTGAATGATATTTGGTGAAATACGGAAGACTGGATCAGGTCCAGCTGGCGTAAATGAATCTAGTTTCATTAAACATATTACAACTGAGGTTTTGGCTTTCCAGCTTACACATCTGACTAGCATCTTCTGAAGGTGAGAGGTAGCACATTTCTTCTTTCAAATATTGCTTATAGCAGGGGATTATTTGGTCAAAACTGTAGCAACAGTTGACTATGTTTGGAACTGAAAAATGCTCAGAGTATTTTCTCCTTTATTGAGAACTAATGTTTAAGCCATGATGCAGAAGAATGATTTTGAAAGAAAAATACATCCCTTAGAAATGTTGTACTACATGAGTAACAGAGACAACAGTAATCAGGTGCCAAGTTGTTTCGGTACAGCTAACAACATGCATAGCTGGTCAGAGTAATCTGATAGCCATAGGAGAGCAGGAGAAAAAGTGTGTTCCGTGGGTACGTACATGAGTTCTTAGAAATGACTGCCATGTACTTAAAATGAACAATTAATTAAGGAAAGAAATGTATGGGGTGGCTGTTGCAGGATTTTGTACTTTGTCTCTTTGTAAAGATATTTTATTTAAAATACTGTATTTTACAAGAGCTTTATTACATTACATCATTACAAAGGAGAAACAAAGGCAGGGGCTGTGGCTGAAGGACTTATAAAATGGTCTGTTGCAACATCCAGATTATTTATACTTAGTCTTCCATTTTTCTGTACAAGCGAGCAGGTTAGATTGTGTTTGATGTCTTCTTTGGTTGGACTTTTGCAGTTATACAATGGAGTTGATGTCTGTAAATGTTTCCTCTCCTGCTGCCACTATTTACTTTGGCTCATGCATATCCCTTACAGTTTAATTTCCTGAAAATGGAAGAAAAAAAAAATACAGGTTACATTAGCATGAAACCATTTTTTTGAGTGACTCCTTTAGTTGGAATAGTGATAACAGTAAAGCGTACTGGTTAAAGAAGGCCAATCTGTACATCTCTAATTTATTAGTGAAATGAACGGTGGTTTTATTATTATTTTTAAATGTAGTCTTATTAAAACTCGGATTAAGCAATCACTTTTTCAAAATCAAAAATATGCATTAAAATGAGGAGAAAGTCCTGCATGTACCTACAGATAAATTCAGAAAAAAATGGTAAGTGGGGATTTAAAGTGAAAGATTTAAACATTAAGTGTAAGCAGAAGTATCCAGCTGCACAGTGAAAGGACTTGAGCAGTGTTTCATTCAGGACTCATTTTCTGCTATGTAATCCAGCTTTAGATAGAGAGATAAGATAGAAATATTGACTCTAAACTGGTATCTTTGCATGTCTCCAGATACATAATTTTCCACGGTAGTACCAGGAGATATATTATAAAATAAGATGTTTCTGACCTAGGACAACTGAACAGTCTCCTGGTAATGCTGCTAATGTAATTACTGGAATAAGATGGGGCCAAGCTGCCTTTAAAAACCACTTTAACAAATATGAAAGCGTGGTGGTGATACAGAGAAAGCAGTCAGCTGTGGCTTAGCAGACTGAGCAGCAGGAGTGGTTTTCAGGTTTGGGGTCATGTTCCCCGCCCATGCCATCCACTCATTTTTATCATGCTCCGTCTATGAGAGGACATGGCTATACATGAGAGGACATGACTATAGTGCCTCATAGCCCCTTGCCTGAGGCTTAGCTAAAGTCACAGTGTAAAGGATGTTTTTAATAAGATTTTGCAGTAAAGATGATAATATGAATGCACTTTGTAAAATCTACTGTGTAAATACATAAAGACTTTCATTTCACAGAGTTTTAGAAAATTTAATTTGTTTAGCTCCTCCTGTCGCCGAAGTCTGGAGCAAATCGCCTGCTGACTTCCATGGCGTGGGAGCAGTCCCCAAAACAGGAACACTGCAAATTGAAATGCACACAAATACCACTCTAGTCTCCGCAGCCCCCTTACGTGTGCTTGTGTCACTCCACTGATTACACGCAAAAAGCGTTTGAAGGTGTTCCACGTATAGATTATATGCTGCAGTCCATCACATGTTGCCTCAGAAGGCTCAGCAGTAGATCTGTGCCGTACAGCAGCGCAAAGAAGAAAGAGCCTGACATAAAAGTGAAAAAGCATAAAAGAAAGGAGAGCAGTAATGAGCTAAATATGTGTCTTAACTTTGCTGTGGACATGCACTCATTTTCTCTTGGCTTCCCCTCCAGAATAACCCACCTGATGTCAAGTAACTGGCACATGGAATGGTTTACAGATGGATCAGCATCAGTGACTCTCGTAGCTGTATATGATTATCTGTCACACAGATGTTTCAGCTTGTATTTGCTTGCTAGCAGCCAGCCAAGCAGCCAGACCTGCCTTTCTTTTCTTGCTTGAGGAGTGGAGAGGGCTCGCCCACAGATGTTTAACTGAGCGACAGAGAGGAGTGTACCCGAGCTGAATTAATGTAGTTAGCTTCAGTGCCTTCTTGGTCAGCATCATTCCCTGAGAAACAACTGGAAAACATTTATGGGTTTGATCTGAGAAATTTTCCAGATGCTGCTTAATAAAAGGAGACGCTGCATTAGTTGCAGTAGTAAGGATTCCCCAGCTTAGAGCATGCCACCTGCAGCATGCAGGATACACGTGTTGTGATTTGCCAGTTACTACAGTAACGAAAAGGGATTTTTTGTTTGTTTCTTTTTAGTCAGCCATTAAACTCCCATTACTCCCCAAAAATGAAGGTTTGCTGTGACCCAAGCCTGTAGACTTCCATTGTGGAATTTGTTTCTCCACTGATGTGAGGCATATGCATCAGAGCCTCAGTTGGAACCGCACAAACAGATCTTTCAACTCTTCTTGTTGACTTTGTGGAAGTTCCTGAATCCAGCTGTAGCTTCTTGATCATAGCTTACATGACAACCCTGCCCTTCACTAGGGTGGCATTTTTCTGTATGCATTAGCAAGCAGAATGAAACTAGATGGTCCACGGTTTGTGACAAAAATAGCTATACTGAAGCTGTCCAGTAACTCAGCATATATATATACACACACACATATATATACACACACATATATATATAACCCAGCAAACTGGCTAAAACTCAGTTTGAAAGACTTGATAGCTGGGGGGGGAAGGCAGATGGGAAGAGGAAGGTATGTAAGAGCAATGGTAAAAGGTGGGGTCTTCCCCCACCCCCACCCCCCCAGTATATTTGACCTTGGTGATACAAATCAGTATTTGCTTGAAATCAAGTGGGCCAGTTGAATAAATGATAATTACTCACTTGACCCTGCAGGTGCTTACTCACGTGTCTGATTTGTACGTCTTTCAACAAAGTGGGGATTTTTTTCAGTTTTGGCTTTTTGCATTACATTTGGACTATTCTGGAATACATTTGCTGCATCTTAAATGATAAAATATAAACTGTACTTGATTGCAACACTGAGGCATCTGGCAGCTCAGCAAAGCTTCACAATAGCCATTAATGGTGTAAAAACAGTATTGTCTGAGTAGCCGTGTTGTATCATCACTGCTGAAACAGGGCTACCTGTACTGTGCGTGACAAAAGCGAAAGTCTTTCCCGTCATGGACACACATGCTTGTAGTCTCTTTGTGCCACAGGCGAGGTGACTGACAGCAGCTCTTTGTCACTGCTCCTTTGGTGACTTCTAGTGCTTTCGTACTTTAATTGATAGAGAGGCTTGTGTGAATATTCCCTAATTTGCTTGTAGCAAAACATTAACTGGATTAATAATTTTCTTACTTCTTAGAGTTCTTTAATTATTTTGTGTTGTGGAAAATGAACTGTAATATAGTCAAATAAATTTCTGCTTTTATGTTTGAAGAGTATAAAGGGAGACTTATGTCTTTTGATTACCAGCTGTAACAGATGTGTAATGTTTTCATTATTCTGCCTTATTTTTAGTTTAGTATTACTGTATAGCACTCTCTACACACATGGTATTTTCTACTGCAGAATAACAAGTGACCTTTTGCTTAGGAACTTTGGGTCTTTTTTCCCCTGTACATTAATATTTTAGCAATGCATAGCTACCTGGGTTTGCTGCAGAAGCTTTAATTTTGTCAGTGCAAATCTAGTACTTCTCGGGGTTTGCCATCAGGGAAAGGAGTCAATAACCGTTCCCCCCCTTCTCTTTCCAGATGCTCTCTAAGTCCATTGAGCAGCTCAAGCAGCCTGGCCATCTGGAGGAAGCTGAAGAAGAGCTTCACGGAGATCACTCGATGCAGGAGGAGCGAGCTCCCGCCGGCGGTGCCAGCGTTAGGGCTGAGAGCAGCAGTGCTGGTGTGGATGACAGAATAGGACAGCAGGTGGGGGCTGTGAAAGTCAAAGAGGAGCCACCGGACAGTGATGAGGATGTTCAAACCCAGCAAATGGAATCTGGGGAGCAAGCTGCTTTTATGCAACAGGTAATAGGCAAAGATTTAGCTCCAGGATTTGTAATTAAGGTTATTATCTGAACATCACATGCGTTTTCTAGGCTTTGATAAGCAATTGTGTTTTGATTCACTGATCTAGCAAATCCTGATTTACCGGTCAAAGAATTTAACAAAGGCAGAAGTGTTGTATGCACACTTGAAAACATAGTGAAGCTCATCCTTATGGCCACTAATTGAGAAAATACCTGTTGCCGTCAAATAGTCTACATAAATCTTTGTATAATAGCTGGTAGACTTTGTATTAGCCCAGGATTACATTACATCGCTTAGTTCTAGTGAAAGAGAACTCGTATCACCTAGCTTGTTGAGATCAGCAATTGCTGGAATTAGTTTCCAGACCTGATTGATGAAACATTCTTCTTCTCTGATTTTGAATCCTCTGACTTTTGCTTTCAGCTCTCTGTATATACTGTATCATACTGTAGTCTTGAACACTGTTAACGTTAGGGTATTTTTTCCCCAGTAGACAGGTACTGACTGCTATATCAGTGGTCCCAGGCTGGTGTATAATTTAGAGAAGAATACAAGGTGGATGTAAAGAGGCAAGGCAAGGCACTGTTTAAAAATTGCATTGTTTTCTTTTTTGCACTGCTTAGTTAATTTTTCATTCTGTCTTATTTGATGAAACTGTCCGCAGAGACATCCTTAAATGAAGCAGATGCAAATACTGGTGAGAAGTAAAATGCAGCATTAGGTTCCAGTCAGTTATTAGGATATTGCAGGAAAAGCACAGAACTGTTATCGTGATCATCTGATCTCCAATCACTTGTTTATTTTTTTTAAATAAAGACTAAGCATACAATATCGCATAACCTTTACCGCGAGGTTTCATGGACAAATACTAAAGTAACGACTATGCATAAAATGCCGACTTGGCAAAAGGAAACTTCAGATTGTCGGTGAGCATTTCACCAAAGCTGAAAAGCGTTTGTGCAGCCAGCGAGCTGGCGTCCCGTTCCGTTGCTGTAAGATCAGGCAGAGCAAGGCTGGGTGCAGTGGAAGGCCCTGTTTATTTAAGTTGCTACTTTGTCAGGTCCCCGTTGTTCTCCTGCAGAAAAGTGATTTTGGGAGGGGGGGCAGGAAATGCCTTATGGAAACAGGAAGCCCAAGTGATTCATGTGCTGAG